TCAGATAATAGAGGAATTTACTTGTGTTTTCTTCTGATACTTGTGCAGTTTCATCTTTCACATTTAAATATCTAATTCATATCAGATATATCTTGGTGGGTGATGAGAGGAATGAACCCTGTTGCTTTTCCATATGGCTAAACAGTTGTTTTCACATCATTTAGTTAAAAGTCATTCATTTCCTCTCTGGTTTTTGGTGTTATCTTTATTTATACTAAGTTTATGTTAAATATATACTAGATTTTTAAAGTTTTTTTATGTAATTGGGTTTTTTTCCTCTCCCCTTCCCGTCAGTTTGTCAGTCTATGTGTGTGCCACCCTGAACTATCCTGGAGTTTATTATCCAGTAGGGCTCACTTCCCTCCTAGTTCTTTTCCCAAGGTTTTATTCTCATTCATTCTTTTCCAAATTAATTTTATAATCAACTTGTCTAGATCCAGAAAAAAAAAAACTGACAGTATATTTAATAAGAGTGTGTAACATTTACAAGTTAATTTAGGGAGAGCTGAGATATTTATAATTTTGAGTCTTTCTGTCTAAGAATATATAGTATGTACATCTTTCCATTTGTTCAAGTCTTCTTTTGGGACATTTAGGAGTTTCTCATGGTTTTCCTCATGTATGTTTTAGGCATTTTTTGTTAAGTTTGTACTTAGTATTTTATTTTATCTTATGATTTTTGCAGTGATATCATAAAGGAGATTTTTGGTCGGAGGGAGTTTCGATCTTTGTCAGGTTTCGAGATCAATGTTATGCTCATTTCATAAAACAAATTTGGAAGATTTCCTTTAAAAAAAAAAATGATTGAGCTTAAGTAGCATTAGGATTATTAGATCCTTCACGGAATGGAAGAGTTCCGCTGTGACACTCTCTCTGTGCCTGAAGGTTTGTTTTTGTTGTTTGTTTTTTTCTTGGGTTTTGTTTTTTGAGGAACTCTTTTACAATTTTATTTCTTTGGGATTGGGGTCAATTTCAATGTTGTATTTTCCATAAAAGTTATTCTTTTCTGGCTGGTTGCAGTGGCACATACCTGTAGTCTCAGCTACTTGGGAGGTTGAGGAGGGAGAATTGCTTGAGCCTGGAGTCCAGCCTGGGCAACACAGCAAGACCCCATCTCTTAAAAAAATACACACACACACACACACACACACACTTCTAAGTTTTCAAGTTCATTTGGAAGAATTGTTCATCTTTTGACTTTTAAAATTTCCTTTCACAGTGTTTTCAAATTTATCATTAAGAAATCATAGACTGAGAGAGGAAGACTTGAGACTTTTGCTGGCATGTTGAGTATTTTGCTTACTAATGAAAATGTCTAATGAAAAGCTTTTCAAACTGGTTGGCTGTCTTCTCTTTCCTCTCCTTTTTCTTTTTTCTTT